AAATCTTCTAAAAATATTTACAAATAATATTCTCTAAAGCTAATATTCAATAAGATATAAAGAATTATTCATCCAATCATATTGTGATATGAAATGATCAATAAAATATAATTAACTAATTTCTACTAAAGGTTCATATCACAACAATATCAAATTTTTTAATCATATTTAAGATCATGATATGTATTTTATATTATATAATATAAAAAAAAACTTAAATATAATAAGATATGAAAACTTGTATAATAGATAATTTAACTTATTATTAAGTATAATAATTAAAGTAAAATAATAATATAATTAAAATAATTTATAAACTAATATAAAAAAATACTTATCAGATCAATATGAAATTAAAATTAAGCTTTTTTAAATAATAATAAGTTAATAATAATAATATCAATAAAAAATATAAATTTAAATAAGTTAAAAATCTATTAGTATTATAATATAAAGAATAATTAGAAATCAAATATTATAAATTAATAATAGAAAAAAGTTATATATAAAATATACTTGTAATATATATATTACTAAAGATGACTTCTCAATTAGTTACAGCTTGTGACAGTCAATCAGAGAGTTACGATAAAGTTATGGTAGCCAATCAGAGAATTATGATAGAGTTATGACTAGTTACAACTCCCATCACTATACACTACTTTATCAAAAGTATTCAATCAAGCTTTTTTTGATTTTCTCAAGATTGGATATATCAATTAGTATATTTTTTTTAAAAAATAAATCTTCTGATTCTGATAATTAAATTTATTTATTTATTTATATTATAATATATATCTAATTTGATAATAAAAATATAAATAATAATAATTTTACGTAATGATAATTTTTAACTTTTTTTTTACTATATCATTTGAAATATATTTTAAAATAGAAAAAAATTATGAGTTAAATGAATTTGAGATTAAGATTCTTCCAGATTGGCCTTTCTAATCTCTGAATCTTAATTCTATTAAATATTTATGACATAAACTTGAATAAAAACTTCAAAAATGATCTGTGCATCCAAAGAATTTTTATGAACTTGAAGAAGCTTTGTAAGAAGAATAAAAAAGAATCCTATCTGAAATTTATATTAATTTGATTGAAAGTATATTATATTAGATTAAAGTATATATTAAAAATCAAGAATAGCTAACTAAATATTAAATATTTATAATCAAATATAATTTTTATTAATCAACCAGATACTTTTGATAGGGTAGTATATGATTAGTCAGAATATAATAGTATAAGTTATTAAAATTATTAAATATAATGTATTTTATTCTTTCTTAATAATTTATTATAATAACTAAATATATATTATTGTTAGATTATCAAATTTAGATAATTCATGACTTAATCCTAATTCAATCCAATCTAATTTTTCATCTAATAAAAATATTAAAATATATGTGATTATCATATAATATGTAAAAATCAATTTTTTAATTTCTTAAAATTTTCAATCTTAGTTAAAGTTATTTCCAAGATTATTCTATATAACAGGCTATTAAACTTAATAAGCTAAATAAAAAAATTTTAAATAATAAAAAATTTAAATTATAGTATTTTTTTAATAAATTATATTTAAAAAAATTATCTAAATTAATTATTTTATAATATAAATTAATTTCTATATAATTATATATAATTTTATAATTTCTATAATATTACTATTAATTTATTAAATTTTTTTTAAATTATATAATATTTTTTATTTTATTATTAATTTTTAATTTTTATTATTATTTTTTTATTATTTTATTATTATATAAGTATTATATTATTTTTCTATTTTATTTTTTTATTAAATTATATTTCTGTATTATATATTTTATTAAATTATATTTCTATATTATGTATCTTCATTTTTGCACCAGATCATGTAAAATTGCAGTTTTGACATTTTTAATTAGTATTCCAAGACAGATTTAGGCATTGGTTTTCGAGTAATATTCATTTTTCAATATATTTTGTGTCGGATTTGTTTTGTCGGGTTGATTATTATTATGTTAATTATTACTAAAAAAGAAAAATAACAGTTTGGATATTAAAGGTTAGTATTTAGTAGATTATAATAAAATTCCAACATTTTTTATTAGTACATTCGTTTCTTGTATTTTTTAGTTTAACAAATGCTAATTTGGACCTTGTTTGTTTTGGTATATTTTTATTCCTATTTTTTGTCAATTCGGGGTTTCGGACGTAATTAGAAACTTTAATCGGTAACAATAACAACCCAAATAGAACTGTGAGATCAGATACAGATAACGATTATGTTTAATTACACCATATGTTACACACGTAAAAAGTTTCAATTGGAGGGGCAAAAGTTTGTTGCGTGGTCAATAAAGTACGCCTCTCCTTTGTTAACGTTAAGGTTTTTGGTTTTTTTTGAAACGTATTTCCAAAAATTTCTTGTTATTAGCACTACCAACAAAACTATTAAATCATAATTGTACATTCGGGAAAACTCAACTCACAGATAAGAAATAAAATGGTAAATAGGAAGACTACCTTTTAATATAAAGATGAAATAGATTCATGATTTGATAATACGTTCTAAAGAAAAGTTGTGGTTAAAATTTTCTAACGATTCATTTTTTTGCTTTTTCTGCTACTTTTAGGATCATAATCTACCGGAAGTAAAAGAGTATTTATATAAAATACTTGTAATTGGTGATTTGGGCACAGGAAAAACCAGCATTATTAAACGATATGTTCATAACATCTTTTCAATGCATTATAAGAGCACGGTATTTTTTTTTACTTTCCGATTTTTTGACTGATTACGGCAAAAAAAAGGAATAGAAAATTAGAAATTAATTCCTTATGTACAAAATCATTTTCAATTTGTTACTACAGAGTCGAATATTGGCTTAATGAATTTTTTATAAATTTACACGCCCATTTTTTAAACAGATCGGAGTTGATTTTGCATTAAAAGTGTTACAGTGGTCACCTGACACGGTAGTCAGACTCCAATTATGGGATATTGCTGGCCAGGAAAGATTTGGAAATATGACAAAAGTAAATAGAGTATTTTCTCTATCCTTTATTCATAGTAACTTTAAGTAGCAAATTGAATCAATTCATTAAGATAATTTACTCTTAATTGACAATTTTTAATTGCATTCTTTCACATCACATTTTACTACATAAAGGTTTACTATAAAGAAGCCTTGGGAGCGCTCGTTGTGTATGACGTTACACGTTCTTCGACTTTTGACGGGGTCACCAAATGGAAGAACGATCTTGATCAAAAAGTCTCTTTACCCGAAGCATGGGGTGGTGGATCAATTCCTGTTGTATTAATGGGCAATAAAGTAAATTTATCATTTAATGTTATCATCTTTAAGTAATTCATCAATACTAATCACAATACCAAATAGTGCGATTTATTAAAGGATGGATGTTCAAACAAGAGTGAATCAGAAATGATCAAATACTGTGAAGAGAACGGATTTGTTAGATGGTATAGAAGCAAAAAAAAATTTTACTTTTTTATTTTTGAATAAATTTATTAATTTTTATTATTAATAATTGTAAAGGTTTGAAACATCAGCAAAAGAGAATCATAATGTTGATGAGGCAGCAAGATATTTAGTATCAAAAATATTAGAGATTGAACAACGAAACCAAGGTAGACCTCGTCAAAACCAAAATGGTGTGATACATATCGATGAAGATCAACAATACACCCCTAATAGTTGTTGTTGACAAAATTTTGCAACTATCCCCACATCATCCTTTCATCCTATCAACTGGCCTTAACATGAGAATTGAGTTTATTCTTTTTTTAATTACCTTATTTATTCATCCAATTTTTAAAGGCATGAACAATTTTGAGTTTCTTATTCCGCATAATAGATAAATTCTTGTCATGTCACACTTTATTAATAAAGAAAATATTTCTTTCTTTACTTGTCTTAACGTGTCAAGAATTTCCATGAGTGAGACAAGATGCCCAGATGTAATTAGCTGGAGGGGCAGGAGTAACAAATCTTGGTGGAATACGGGATGCGCCTTGTGTACCTGGTGGGACAATATATGCATCCCATTGACGTCTTTTGAGGTGGGGGGGGGGGAGAAGAAGTTAGCGAAAAAGCAAAAAATCTTGTCTAAAAAAAGTGCTTTATCACCTGATGGATACAAGATTATCCAAATCGAATTCAGCTTGGTGCCAATATTCATATAAAGGATCACGTTCTCGCTCACGTTCCTTCATTCCTGCATCCATCGCTTCTTTGCGTTTCTGTTCAGCGGCCGCGTTTCTTTCCCTTTCAAGTCGTTCCTCTTCAATTTTCATTGCATCATTTAATGAGGCAACTTTGTTGAAAAATTCATTATCCTCCTCCGGAAAAAAATGACCTATATATAATAACAATATTGAGTATAGCTCGTCTATTTTAACTATTCTCTTATCCGCACCTTCTCTTTTGAGTCTTTCCCGACGTAAATCTCGAAGTTTTTTCACTTTTTCAAGAAGCTTTGACATCTCTTTATGTCTATTTTTATTCGCTTCGGCTTCCTCAACACGCTTTTCAGCATTTTCTTTGCGAGCTTGTTCCTATGAATTGAAAAATATTGAGTGAAAAGTAAGCCGATCTAGAGAAGTCATTATCAAATCTCACTCTTTTAAATGCTAATTCTTTTGCAATCCATTCTGTTCGCCATTCATCGATTGTTTTGTGTAGTGTCTCGCGGCGCCGTCTGCGTTCGTCACGAACATTTTGTAATTTTTTGATATGCTGCTTTTGCCATTTCTGAAATTAATGATGAAATCAATACAATGCAAATGAACAAATAAATCAATATAAATTAATTAACAGACTTTATGACGTTGTATCTTTGATATTTTCTGCTTCAATTTAATTTGAAATTCCTCATTTAAGATCTCATTCATATTCGTTTCATATTCCGACTATTCTAGCATTAAATATGTAAATTTCATATTAAATTTTTATGTCAACTAAGAATGATAAAAACGGATCCCTTTACCTTGATTTTCTCGATATTGGACACCATCAACTCCCATTCTTTTTCGTTAGCCGAACCTTTTGCAGTTTTCAATTTTTCCAGTTGTTCACCTAATTCTTTCCTAAGTGCTTGAACACGAAGCACTTTCTTTCGCGCATCACTAATTCTCGGTAGCTTGAATGATTTTTCTTGAAACTGAATATTATGTGACTTTAACCACGACTTAAGCCACAGCTGTTCCGCACTAGAGTTCTGTTCGTCTAAATGTCGTTTACAAACTTTGGAAATAAAATAATATTAAATGCATTTTAATGCTTACTTTTATGTAAAGAACTCTCCAATGAAACGCCGGGTGGCGCTTCGTGCTGAAAGTTAAATGTCGTTTGAGGAAGAGACGGTCTCACAAATGCGTGTTGAGAATCAAACTGGGAATAATTGTCACCAGGGAAAGAATATATACTTTGTTGATTCGGGTCTTCAAATGTAGTCGCACTTGCTGTATTGGTGCTTGTTGTGATAGGATAAGGGGTGTGCTGATTTATATTAATTTGCTGACGCAAATTTGGACCAGGAAAGCCAGGTCGTTGTGGATAATTAATGTAATTTTGCGTGTAATATTGAAATGACGAAGCTTCTGTTGTCCAATTTTGTCCTTGCTGTTGTTGTGTGTCTCGGGAGAATTGCGAGTCTTTTTGTGGCGATTGGAACGGTGGCCGGTAAGGTTGCATTTGATTGAGCTGGAAGAGGCAATGAAATTAATTTTCAGGACAATACAGTAAAAATTAATTTCTACAATGCAGTGCTCGTGTAACGCATGCAACACACGCACGATCATATCGATGTATAATAAATACACACAATATATTTATATGCGAATTAGATTATGAATCCTAATTTTGGTGTATACTTTCCACGGCGATGATTGGAGCTCGGGGATGTCGCATTGCATTTCTTTTTAAATATAAGCATTAAATTAATTTACATCGCGTCAATATTTACTTGTTCGCCCGGTAGAATACCTTCTGCCAACCTACTTTTACACCCTCCCTCTACCCATCCACCCACCTAAACTCCTTTCCAACGAACAGCTCGCGCAAATATTTGCAGAGTGCGTGTTCCTATCATTACCCACTGTAAAATAAGGAAAAAACCTCTAACGAACCAGTTAAACGCGTTTTTTCACTTTTCTCTCTCTTTTAGTCATCACTTTACTACTATACTTTTTCTCTCTCTTCCTCTTGCTCTTTTGCGTTTTGTAAATCTCTTAAATTCTTTTATTTCTCTTTCTCTATATATCCTTACACAACCCTTATTTAAAAAATTATTCTTTTATATCCCCAACATAATACCGGTTTTTCCTTTTGGCTTAAACCAAATGCTGTGCATTTTATAATAAAAGAGAAATAAATTAATTCACAGTCTATCAGTCAGTGCATTAAATAGAATATATTTTACAAAAATAAATTGTGCACGCGTGCAGATAGAATTATATTTTTGTATATTATTGTTATTATTTAATTCAAACGAGTAGCTATAAAAAAAATGTCCAATTCAAAAAGAGTTCAAAAGCGTGCTGCCAAGGGTAAATATATTCATGATAATCGACTCAAAATTTTTTTCGTGTTTTTCTGAATTCTGTTTTTTTATTTAGATACCGATTCTCAAAAAAGTACAACGACGACTACTTCAAAATCAACATCCTCGCCTAACGGTAGCAACAACAAAGATGGTAAAGTCAACGATACTCGAATAGCAGCCTTGCCAAACGATGTATCGAATACAAAATCTACACCAAAAGCATTCACAACAGCAAAAGCAACCATTGTATCATCTGACTCGAGTAAAACCATAAATAGTCGGGTGCCTTCTGCAACAGCTGCTGCCATCACATCCAATGATGTTACTGTACAGAAAACAAGTTCCAGTTCTAATTCACTAGGTGCTGGTGCATATATAGGAATTGGATTGGGAATATTGGTGGCTATTGGTTTGGCTGGATTTTTTCTACGAAAAAAAATCAATCGTCGTAAAGATTCGGAGGATAAAGAGTGGAATAGAAATCCTGATGAATCACAAACTAGATCATTGGACTTTTCTAAGACACCAGCGTATAATGATGTTTCTGGTCTAAACTCTTCGGCATATTCAAAACAAGCCCCACAATATGCATCGGATTCTTCGAACTATACCCCACAAATGACGCAAACCAAGAATGTCAATTCTAGTACAAAAGACGACACATCGAATTATAATGTAGCCTCGTCCGGTGGTGCTACTTGGGATTACTTGTATGGCACGAATGAAAGTGATAAAGAAAAGTCTGCTGATGTGTCTAATGAAAAACCGACGCAGTCCACCTTTTCCAAACAATGGTTAACAGATCTGCCACTTCTGAATCAGCATAATAGTATAACCTCTAATTCACGTTTCTCTGATCTTAGCAGCAACAATAATTCTCGACCTATATCTCCCATCAGCAATAACTCTGGTGCAAGATTACTTTCTCCAAAGAAGACAGATTCTGACACATTTTCTTACTATAATGAAAATCGAGAATCATTACAAAATGTACTTCAGTCTGACGATGCTTTTTCATCTGTTCCTTTAGATGATAAACCTCCAACTTCATCATCTTCGCAATCTTCACAGACTAAGAGTAAAAAAGATAAAAGGATTTCCTCGCCACTTCTTCCCACTTTTTCTTCATTATCTTCACAATTTGAAAGTAAAAAAAGTAAAAGGATTTCTTCTCCACTTCGTCCCACTTCTTCGTTATCTCCAAAAGATGATAAGAAGTTGTTTTTACGACTTTCTAAAGATCTTGAAAAAGAAAAACCAGACCGATCATCTTTCGTTGAACATATGGAAATGATGCTTCAGAATTTCGGCGCAAGTAAAACAACGCTAAATATGCCTGAATTTGCTCAAAAACGGCCGGATTCGCATCCTTTGGAGGGTTTAGAAGATATATTGGCGCAATTCACGCCTACCGATCAAAGCAGTAAAGCAACAACTCAGCAAACTAATAATAGTTCCGGTGCTGTTAATACCACTCCACAAACTCCCAATCCTACTCATAATAGGAACTCGAGATTGATAAGAAATACACCATCACCTTCGCCAATAAATATACCCGAAGCTCGGATCTTTATTAAAAAAGATGAAGCTCCCCTAGATCCAATTCCTCAATCTAATCCTTCTTCCCCCCCAGTAGTAAAAAGTTCAGGAATCTCAACACCTCCTTCAGTGTTATCTTTGTCCCCAAAAGATAAGACTGCTAGCCAGGAGTCTAAGTCTAGTCCTCTTAAACCAATTTCAACACTCCCTTCGATTGAAAATACTATTTTGAAGAAGTCATTAACGGAAGAACCATCGACAATTTCGGATGCTCAAGATAAAAAAGAACCTAAAAATACAGAATCAAAGAGCCCGGTGTCTAATAATCTAAATAAGACTCTTTCTTCTAGTTCAGAGAAAAACTTAACTGTAAATCTGAAACCAACAGAGTCAGTATCTCCACCGATTTCACCTACCTTTATAGGTAAAAAACCAAAGAAAGCTGTCGGAATAGTTAATGATCGCGTCAAGAAGTTTGAAAATGAGGCTAAATCTGCTGCGAAAACCCCGGTCCCGATCAAAAGATCTTCAATTCAAATGTCACCTTTTATTAAAGAAGCCACATCGATTTCCGCTAAAAGATCTTCAACACAAATGAATCAGCCTGGTAAAGAACCCACGCCAATTCCTATTAAAAGATCTTCAATACAAATTCCTGCAACCTTTAGTAAGGATGTAAATAGTAAACCATTGGGCGATTCACCGCTACGTGGAAGTGTAAGTTCTAAAACATCATCTCGTCCAGCATCACCAATTTCGCCAATTAAACAGAATGCTACAAAGATAGAAGAAATCAAGGCGAACTTGACTGGCGTAAAAAAGAGTGAAGAAAAGAACGAACAAGAATCCCTACCGTCGATCTCAGTAACACCTTCTAATCGTGAATCAGTTGCACCAATCACAGTTAAAAATTTACCAAACAACAATAATGATAAAGAACCTGATTCTGCTCGTGATTCAGAATCTGAACTATCCAATATACAAGTTGCAGTTAAAGTTAACGTCGCTCGAAAACAAGTAGCAAGTTTCTCCGCAGTTAAAGATTCAAATCAAGACTCCGAAAATAACTTTAGTGCTCCTAGTACACCTAAATTCGGCGTGTCAAATGATAAAAATCAAGATAACTTTAGTGCTCCTAGCACGCCTAAATTCGACGCAGCTGCGGAAATGTCAGATGACAACGATTCGATATATGTTGATCCAGAGTCCAATACATCATCAGCTAGATCTTCTTTGTCTTCTGGAAAATCAGCCACCACTTTGGTCGCCAACACAAACTCTGCACCCAAAGACTCTGCACCCGAAACGTATAGAAGTTCCACATTAAGTTTGTTTGATCTATATGGAAGTTCAGAGGATAACTACCGTAAAAGTCAACAGTTGGAAACCCAGCCAGTTGACCTTGAGAATTCTTAACGACATAATTAAAAAATGTCCACTCATTTTAATGCTGTGATAGGTTTTGTATACGCATTACCATAGATCTATGACTATTAGACTCGGTTATCATTATCATTAATTAGAGAAATATTAATTTATTCATTTATTACCTATCGACTGCATATAAATTCTATTTAATTTATAGTATATATTTATTTATTTTATTTATTTAGTTTTCTTTTATTTTTTATTGCATCCTCAACAATGTAATTGTATCAATATATCGTATTTCGTGCCCTTTCATGCGTGTATTATATAATCAATTTATATTGCACGCACGCTATCTTTTAACATAAAACCTCTTTAGCATACTCATCATCATTGTAATCGCATATACAGGCAAATTTGAAAAAACAATGAAATAAATGGAAAAAAAATTTTTGTATTTGCTTACTTGTTTCATTAATCAATTCTCATAGTAAATTGTGTATCACGATGCATAATTCTGATAAGTAGTCTTTGCTCATCAAAAAGGGAATATTGTTTCAAATGAAATAGTGCGAATGAACTTTTTTAGGATATATAACAAATCGTTGTTTTCTAGCATCCAATAAATAGCTCTTCTAATACGGATTTAATAATTTTCGTTGTGTGAACAGTTTTATTTAGTGAAACTATGAGTTGGTGAGTTTAAATTCCGAGATTTGGTGAAAGAGATCTTTGTTATTTTAGTTCTTCAAATATTTTTGTCGGGAACGAAATTTTGGCGATGCATAATATTTTCATTTAAAGAAAGAAGTAGAGTAGTTGTCCCAAGTACCACTATTATGTAAGAAAAAACTTACTTCTTTATGAAATCAAAAAAAGGAATATTTTAACACACTAAAGTGCCAGAATCATGGAGAACCAAAGATTTTTCGTTGTTTGGAATATGCAGTTCTTTTAAACGATTGCTCATGGAAATATTTTTTATTAATTTAGGTCGGGCTTTAAAAAAACTTTGAATCGTACCGGTACTACGGTATATGTTTTTACGATGATGATGATGTTACTTTTGCAAAATATGACATAACATTATTTTTCTTGAATATTTTAGATTATGCAAAGGACCGGTGCGATTGAAAAGACGGTTAGTAATTTTATATGTGGTCTATCATTTTTATTTGAGTGAATATTTATTTACATGAATTTTGTTTCTAGGTCGACCGAGAGTTTGATGAAGAAGAACGAAGAATTAAAAAGTAAGTGGTGGCACAATATATTAGTTATAGGAAATGTTGAATTTCTGTAAATTCAAGCAAGTGAAGTGGGTGCAATATGGAGAATCAATGATGTAATTTATAAGAGTGGAAATAGTTTTGTCTCGAAGGAAAATAAAGGCTAATCCTTTAAAAAATACAGCTTACAACAAAAATCCGAAAAGCTCCACAAAGAAGCAAAAGGATACCTGGATTCTGTACGCGGTAAATTAGGGCTTTTATAATCTTTTAATTGAATCTCTCTCTGATAGTCCAATCTGACCGATCTTTTACCAACCCAAAAAGCAATGACCGCAGCTCAAATACGGATTGCCGAAACGATTGATAATTTTTATGAGGATTCTGATAATGCACTTGTGGGAGCAAAATATAAAAAAGCAGTTGAAAAATTAGATACTGAATGTCGTAATTTTATGGTGGGTAACTTCAAAATGAGACAATGAAAATAAAAAATAAATTAAATAACCTTTGGTGTATAGGACGAACCGTATCGTCAAACAGTATTAGATCCGCTTGGTCGTTTCTGCGCCTACTTTCCCGATATTAACGAGAGCATTAAACGTCGTCATAAGAAATTATTGGATTACGATGCGATGCGCTCAAAAGTTCGAAAGTTGGTTGAAAAACCATCGGATGATCCGACTAAATTACCGAGGGTTAGTGTTATTTTCGTACAATAATGTAATATTCATCCTATTATGAGATATTTGATTCTATTTTCTTTTCCCTTTTTTGGTTAACTTAAGGTGGAACAACAAGCAGAAACAGCTCGAGAAACGTATGAATCACTCAACTCGAAACTCTTGGAAGAATTGCCACAACTAATTGATTTGCGAGTGGATTATATAGATCCAACATTTGAAGCATTTGTGAAAATTCAATTGAAGTTTTGCCAGGAAAGTTATGAACAATTGGATGCATTACAACAATATTTCCCGGAGGATAGACATCATGATGGTCAAATTGAGGAAGTGCTGCAACAGATGAGGGATTTGGCTATTTGTGGAATGGGATAATTCTTTCTATATATATATTTATCCTTGTTTGTTTATGGATTTTTTGTTTATTTGCACAAAATTTTCTATAAGAATAGCATATAGTCAATAATGTTTGGTGATCGACGTTCTTTTTTTTTGGTTTCTATAGTTATTCATAAACATTTTTGAAGGAGTGTTTTTTGAATTTTGATGAGATAGTTCAACACTTAAACATTAGAACTTGAAGAATCGATACACACTGTATAGTAGAAACCTCTTTAAAAGCTGCACTTTTTCTGGCCTCAAGGGTATTTATTCAACATTTTGGAACATTTTTAACATAATTCCAGATATAGCATCCTTATCGCAAATAAAATGACCTTTATCGTGGATTTTTATATTATGGATTCCTTTTATGTCTCTGTTACTCAAAAAAGACCAATTCATCATCATCATCATCGAATAAGAAAAAGTGTTACAGCTTGGAAAACGTGCACATGGTTCCTATGAAACAAGTCTGTAATTCTTTTCAGATTGGTCCTTTCCGATTGTTGTAAATAAACACAATCCTTGAAAATGTTTTGTGTTGATTAAGAAAGCTTGAAGGCTGTGCCAAATTTTGTCTTTGAATGATGCCTCTATTGGTCGATCATTCATTTGTATCTCAACCAATCAATTAAAAATTATTATCATTACACAATACATAATTGATAGTCTAATCCGGATCAAACGATTCGTGCAACCTTTATTGGCAATATTTATAGAACGTAGAATCAAGTATTATAAACGCGTGTAAATTTTTAATAAAAAAAGATTAGCAATATTGTTACTTAGAAGAGTAAAGGCATTCGAATTTAGATGGATATTTGGCATCAAAGCCTGAGTTTTTCATCAATGATATCTATTTAAAAAAAAGGGCGATCGATTTTTTTTTACACTCTTCATCATCATCAAAATGATTCAATTGATATATGATGCATTTCATAAACTTTTTTAGAGTATGTGGTTTTTGTTTTAATAATTATTTGAATTGAAGTACACTCTCTTGGGTTCCTATTTTTCTCCCTACTTTTTTTGTGGTGTTTGGTGAGTGGTTGAATAGAATGAATAATGAAAAATTAGCAAACTAAAAAAAGACGCTACCATAATTTCTTCATTTTTTCCTATTCGTCATTATCAAAAAAAAAAACTCGAATCAGAAAATCATTTCCTGCAGATTCATTCCTGCTAGTCATTGATCGCATATTGACATTAATATATAGAGAATGAAATAAAAATAATAAAGTTCGTATCGCTTTTCTTTGATTCACATATTAATAATAAATAAATTAGTAATTATACACGTACACAGAGACTTTTTTTCTGAGATTAAATTAAAAAAATTACTCTTCGCAGGGCGTAAGAGACTAGAAATACCACAAATTTTTAAGAATTACATAAAACGAAAATATTTATTTCATTGTTTCCAAATTTGTTTTTGATCTACAAACACGAAAGAGTAACGAAGTAATAGTGTTAATTGTTGGGATTTCCTTAGCCAGTCTTGTGTGAACGAGCATACTTTTTCATTTTGAAATTATTACTATATAAATTAAATGTAAGAATGTAGACAACACATAAAGTTAATTAGCAAGCTTGTACTCACTGCTAACCTTCGATCTTCTCTTTTACTAGTTATTTTTCTAATTCATGTTTGAAATTTCTAAGCTCTCAGGTATTTGGTTTTTATTTCTCTCGCTACTTTCCCTCTTTAATGAATGAGATATTAACTTTCTCATTTACTAATTACTAGTCGAACAGCAAAAACACCTTGACATTACAAGTTCTCCTCCTTCAATGACACCTTCACCTTCAACAACACCCATCATTGAAACCTTTGAACAAATACCACAAGCACCGGGAGATTCGCTTTCCTCCGCTGGTTTTTTATCATCCCATTCGCCCACAACTCCACCGTTTGATGACCAATCAACAACAAATATTCCTCAGTCTCAAAATGATACTTCCAATAATAAACCTGACACTATTAACAACCATATAACCGTCTATTTTAAATCCCTGCAAGAGGAAACTATTGACGGTGACAATGATTCTCCCATATTGGAAAATCTATTGCAATCACATATTGATGATAAAAGCATTAATAATATTAATGATGATGCAGATATTCAACGCCAAGGTAATTTAACAAACTCATTTGAAGAAACCAATCAACGAGATTATAGCCAGAACAAGGATATGCAAACAAAAGAAATAAATCACAATAAAGGAGGTACGTGGTTAATTTATTATTTACATAGTATATTTATTGGGTTTTCTTAGAATAAAAAATTTCTTCTAGTAATTACGAAAAATAGCAATCATCAATCTAAAAATGTCACGACAACTCAACAACAATTCAATCCTGAAGAATTGGAAAACATCAGCAGATATCATCAGAATGATTCACCACCAACTATTGGTTCAAGTTCACCACAATCCGAAGAAGATGCAGGCGGGTATGGATCATTGTTCGCTTCCGACACTACTATTATTACTAAGAATATTGGTATTAATAGTGATGGCTCATTTAATATGAGCGAAAACATCAATAATCTTTTCGCCGAAAATAATAATCCACAATCAACTTACCCTATGTCGAATGACTCTCTCTTTACTTATAACTACGAAAATCACAGCACTAACATGTCGACTACTCCTCAAGAAAATCTTTCATTAAATCATGCCATTCAATCGTCGTCATCATCTACATCAATTTTGCCTGATCAAAATAAATCTTCTGAAATACTTGATTTTGTTTTTGCTAGTGAAATCGAAGATGTCAGTGAGAAAGTGGTCTTTCAGTGGGAAGAAAATACTTCAACAGATTCTCCTTCCCAGTATTCGTCAAACTCAAATATGGCACGACGAATTAAAAATAATCAACGACAACATCAAGAGCACCATCCTTCAAACAATAGTTCTGATAATAATTGTCCGAATCAACATAACAAAAATCTCGAATCCCACGAATTATTTGGTGATAACAACAATTTCACTACTAATTCTTTATTATCACCAAATTTTTCTAATTCAAACACCACATCTTTCTCTCCTTTACCATCTTTTCTTGAACCTAATCGATCATATTTTACGTCTCGAGTCTCTGTCATGAATTCCATGAATTCTGATAATTATGAAAATTATTCAATGATGGAGCAAAATCTTGGGATTAAAGAATCGCTAACACAACGACAACGGCAACATCACCAAGCAGCTTCAGGGAATTCTAGCACCGACATCGCCCCTTTCGATTGGTCATTATCTAATCCGTCGAATTATACAGAGTTTTGGCAGCAACATCAACGTTCACAGCAACAGTTATCACAATTGATACGTTCTTCTCCTTCACTTTTTCAATATTATCGATTGGGTGTCAATGATAACAATAACCGTAACAACAGCTTACCATTTTCACAGCAGCAACAAAATTTACGCAAACGTTTTATGCAAAATAACCTTGGATTTCAAAATGAACATGTTTCGTTAAATCCATCAGATCCACAAAATATGCTCTTTAATACCCAAATCCAACAAGAAATATATCAAATTACATCCTCCTCATCAGAACCTTCACGTAAACGAGTGAAACCGCAAGATATAAAAGATACCGAATTTTCTAATATTAACTTCCAAGATAAATCATCTAAATCAACACCATCTCCGGTGTCTTCGCCCGTATTGCCATTTACTCCTTCTGCAGCTGCTGCTGCCGGATATCCCACTTCTTGTCTTGATAATCCCAAAAATTTTTATAATTATCTTCATCACCAGCATCATCAAATTGATTCTCAAGAATATTCACAACAAAATGCGGAAGCGGAAGAAGAGGAATCGTCTACCGAACTACCGCTCATTGATCCTAATGACACCCGACCAGATTCTAAGCCTCGACGACAGAGAACTAGGTATCCAGGTGACTTGTATACGCCTAAATGGGTTCGACTCATGGGTCAAGCAAAGGAGGGATATTGTGATTTATGTGAACCGGGTAAATGGTTGCAATTGAAAAATAGTGCATATTGGTATGAATTTGTCTATGTTTATGATATCGCATTTGTTATCATTTATTTACATGTGTATCTTTCACAATAATCAGGTATCATAAGCAATTCTATCATGGAATCTCTTCAGTATCGGGAAAATACTTTGTCCCACCAATTGATACACGAACCGTACAAGCGAATTCATCAATAATTTATAGTACCTCTTCTTCACTGAACTCCTTACCACCAACAGCATCCTCTTCCGCTTTGGGCAACACTGAAGGTCTTTGCCATCAATGTCAACAATGGATTCCACTGACAAGCACCAAAAAAAAGACAGCAACAACTTCGGTTCTTTGGTTTCGTCATGCGCACAAATGTCACGTTTACATAAAGCCAAAGAACGCACCGTCAAGAAAAAAATAGTAAGAAATAAGAATGATGAGAACAAGCAACTACAGCAAAAGCAAACTTGGGAAAATAAAAATATTCTTAAGAAAATTATGACTTGAGTTTTAGGCAAAACGCTAATATCTTCTTAGAATAGAAATTAAAAAAAAAAAAATACAAAAGGTGTATTTTTACTAGCAATAATAAGTTATAATAAAAAAAATACGCAAATTATTATAGTACCCTAATAATTGGAGAAAAAGTGAGTGACACTTTCGCCATAGAATTGGAAGTTATCATATGGAAATTAGATTGTCATGATTTGTTCATTTCCTGGCTACAATGCAAAGGAGGAGAGAAAAAACATACAAGATGTATTAATCACAGCCACGTTGTTGAAAGTGTCTTTATTGTGCCAATCTCAAGGTATGCTGCCCCTGCAAAGTATCACGGTATTAATCTCCGAAAAAAGTATACATGTTCTGGAATTAATTAGAACTATTATCAAAAGTGAATATAACTATACAATCTGAATATAATATCTCAAAAATGATAATTACTTTGTGTTTAATTTATTTAATTTGCTCTTAACTCGCTAATAAATTACATAATATTTAAAGGCTATTAGAGCCTTTAATAAATCGAATTTTAAAAAAATAAACTGGTAATAATATTGTTTAAGATATGTACTATTAAACTACTGGTCAGAATTTTAATTTAAGTTTTAAATAAAAAGTTATAAGCATTTTAAATTGGGTCTTATTATATATTTTGATCAGAATTGAAACATATCATGTGATTTTTTATCACGTGAAACTTATTTTATTGGTCAATTACAATAATATACTGCATGTGAATAATTTTTATTAGTTTAATATTATTTGATCTAAGTAGCTAAAAAATTTATATAAACTTTAAGAATTTCTGATAATATATTTAAAATTAATTTTTAAAAGTTATATATCATATTTTTATTTAAGAGTTTTTTAAGTTTAATTTATTAAAAAATATTTAAATATCTTAATAATATTCTATATAAAAAGATAGAAAAAATTATCAACTTTTTTAGAAAGAAAAATTATTTTTTTTATTAAAAAATAAATTTCCTAAAAGTAATAATTATTATAAAAGATAAAAAAATTATTAAAATAAATATATAAGTAAAAGAAATTATTATAAAAGATAAAAAAATTATATATAGATAAAAGAAAAATTAATAGAGTTTTAAGAAATAAAAAAAGATTTATTAATAATAATTTTAAATAATATAAAAATATTATAAATAATATATATTAAAAATTCAAGAATTATAATATAAAGATAAAAAAATATAAAAAACATATAAAAATAATAAAAAAACTTGATATATTTTTTTAATTAATTTTTTAAAATAATATATTAATATTTTTATTATTAAAATTTTTTTTAGCTATTTTTTAGTTTAATATTAATATATTATTATTATTATTAAATTTATATAAATTATTAAAAAAACTTTGCTTAAAAATACTTAATTAAAATATTTAATAGAAAAAAATATCAAAATAAATTATTAAATTTTATATATATGATTATTTATATCTTTTAAGTATATATTAATTTATTTAATTATTATTAAAAGAGTAAAATAAGATAAATATTAATAGATAAATTATATAAAATATATAAAAAAAGAAATAGATATCTAAATAAATATAAAAATTATATAATAAATAATTTAATTATTAATCTTTAAATCTTAATATTTTTATAATTATTGATTTAATTTTTATAAAATTAAAAATATATATTTATTAAATTTAGAATAATATACTTATACAATAATGATCAAAAGTAATAACTCAGAGGCTAAATTTACTAATAAAATATAGTGAAAATTAAAATTTTCTCTTTATATTAAAATTTATAATTTTAATAAGAAATAA